TCGGCTGTGAGTCCTTGAAATTTTTACTTCTGCCTATATGTGTGACAGATGGGACATGAGAGGAAGTGGACAGAGCAACATACATGTTACTTTCCATTGGTTATGCTGCATGTGGTGGGAAGGATTAAAGTAAAAACAGAAAAAAGTAAAATACTGCTCCTTCTTTCTGTGCAATTTTTTTCTAACAGGTGGCAAATTTCTTTAAAAGTATGATATTCTTACTGGTGGCATAAAATGGATATTCAAGAATCCAATTTAAAGTGCTTTAAGATGACAGTGAAAACAGTGTGGAGCATAAAGTAAATCCTTGGCCAACTCAATCTTAATCTGCACTAGCATTCGATTGCAAAAGCAGAGATAATTTAAGGAACTTTTCAGTGAGTGCCAAATGACTGCAGAAATGGGAGTCTTCCAGTATCTCTGGCCTGCATGATCTGTCAGTTTCTGACACTAAGATTAACCAAAAATACATCATACTGGGATAGTGCTTGGAGACTCTAAGCAGAAGCAGGGTGGCCTTCAGAGGTGTTCTGAAAAGGATCTCCATATTGTGAGCAAGGCTGGCTGGGCTAAAACTTTCCAAATTTTCAGTCTTTAGTAAGTAATTTTTCTGCTTATTTTAGTTGCTGATGATGCCACCTTAATTGTAAGTCCTACCAATATTCAATGATGATCTAAACAGCTCTAAACCTAAAAAAAAAAAAAGTTTCCCATCTGGAAATGATTACATACTTTTAAAAATTCTGCTTGAGAGAGACGACGATGGAGCAGGAGTAACCTCTACCAAAGCTTTGAAATACTCCATCACCGGCTTCACTCTCCAAATACTCACGATGGCCGTGAAGTCAAGAGTCAGAATGCAATATAGGACTTCCATGTGGGTGGAAAGAAAATGATTAACCAAGCCAATCCTGTTTCCCAGGTGTGTACCTGCAGGATGCTGCAGTCAGGCAGGGGAGCAGGAATTGACACTTCCAAAATGGGATGTCTAGATGAAGGCCATGGTGTGGTGTAGCAAGTTAACGCCACTCACTGCCTGCCACACCAGGATCAGAGTTTGAATCCTGGTTAATCCACTTCCAATCCAGCTTCATGCTAACAAGCTTGGGAAAAGCAGTGGAAGATGGCCCAATTTCTTGGATCCCCACACTCATGTGGCAGACCTGAAAGCCGCTCTGGGCTCCTAACTTTGACACAGTCTTGAACATAAAGGCCATTTGGAGAGTGAAAGCAGCAATGGATGGAAGATTTCTCTTGTGTGCTGTTTCTCCCTCCCTTGACGGCCTTTCAATTAACATAGTCTTTAAGAAAAAATGCTATAATACCTACTCTTCACCTCACTCTTTAAAATGTTCCATCTTCATTTTATTTGAAAAAGAGAGGAAGAGACATCTTCTATCTTCTAGTTTACTCCCCAAATGACTTAACCACTAAGGCTGAGAACTCAGTCTGGATCTCCCACGTGGGGTGCAGCCATCCAGGTATATGCTACAGGTATAAACTGCAAACTGCAGGAAGCCAGACAGGTAGACCCAAACCAGGCACTCCAATATGGAATGCCAGAAACCCAATGGCAGCTTCAACCACAGCACCAAGTATCTGTCCCTCACTTTTCCCTTAAACCACACTTTCTTCTCTCAGGCTCAGAAGACATACATTAAAATGTATAAACCCTAAATGCACATTTGGGATTTTAAACATGTACAAACAAACCATCATCAAACATGTTCATCCTCCCACTAAGTTCCTAAATGCCCATTTCCAGCCAATTGGTCCCTTACCACTACTACCGGGGTCAGTTTTGCACACTTGTCAACTTCATGCATGTTAGCCTTTGCTTTTCTACTGCCTTGTCATATTCATACCCCCTACTAGACAGACAGGCTATTTCCAAAGAAATGTGCATACCCATAAATTTGGTTCTATTGGGGCACCTTTATCCATGTTAAAGGATAATAATCTCGTGGCTGATTCTGTCACATCTTCTCTGGTCTTTCACTGTTTCAGTATTCTATCAGCTGCTTGACTCTTTAACTGTTATGGTATTTAAATTTAACAGGACTATGGCTAACGTTCCCCCTTATCTTTGTATTGCCTGAATCATTTTACATTTAATGACCATGTACTTCCTTTGTGTATCAGTTTTGCAAACTATTAAAAGAACTGGGATACTATAACAAAACTAATTACTAAACATTTTTAAACAATTTCTGGAATACAGAATCACAAGGAGTCTAAGATTACCATCTTTGAGAAAGAAAACTTCATTGGACGCCAGTGGGAGATCTGTGATGACTACCCCTCCTTGCAAGCCATGGGCTGGTTCAACAATGAAGTTGGTTCCATGAAGATACAATGTGGGGCGTAAGTGCAAAGACACAGTTGAAGTACACTTCAAAGTGACTACTTCAGGTGTAAACCCTGTGAACATTAATACAGCTAAGTCAGATTTCATATATTAGCCTGATAATAGTAGGTCATAGATTACTTATTGATATCCTATTTTTCTCTCCAGGGCACCACCACTATGAATATATTTATGTTGACCACTCACACCCTTTTTCACAACCAAGGTTCACTAACTAGTTGTAGCTCTATTACGCTTACGAGCAGTGTCAGACACATTTTGGATGGTCATTGTTTGCTAATCCTAAAAAGTATTCTGAACCATTGTGCAGCGTCCAGAATTAGGTTTGGAGTGCTGACCAACCAGGTTCCTACACTTTTAGTAATGTAATGTGTTTTTGCAATTCCCAGCTGGGTTTGCTACCAGTATCCTGGATATCGTGGCTATCAGTATATTTTGGAGTGCGATCATCACGGAGGAGACTATAAACACTGGAGAGAGTGGGGTTCCCATGCCCAGACTTCCCAGATCCAATCGATACGCCGTATCCAGCAGTAGTGGATTAAAAGCTCCGAGAGAGTTCTGCAAGCATGATACCTTGCTAATTACTCTAGAATGAAGTTTTATGTTCTGCTCACCAGACATTGCTTCCAAATGTTAGTTGCTGAAATCCACAATAAATGTCATTTAAAAAAAAAAACTGGTAGACTGAATTATGCGTTACACAAATCATACTTAAGTGATTATTTTTAAAACAAACTTTAATAAAAGAGCAAATTCCCTTTGTGTCCTTAGAGGTCACTTCGTAAGGACAGTTATTACTTCTTCTCTAAGGTCTGTAGTGACCGTTCTTTCCACCCCCTAACACTAACGTTGATGCCACCAGCACTGACTTTCTCCTCCAAGCTTTTCCAAATGTGTCCTGCTATGTATTCCTACATAATGTTTCAAGTAAATCCGTACTATCGGCAGCTTAATTCCTTAGCTCCATTTTGGTTTGCTATCCCAATTCAAAGAGCTTATAGTTAATGTGCTGCAAGTCTGTGCAGTTGCTTTAGCAGTTTGAACAACCCAATAAAAAACATGACTGTAGATTTAGGATCTAGATCAATTGCACTTCTGACCCTACGTGAAAAAAAGGAATTACTACCAATGTCACCATACATTCATTAAAAAATTTACTTTTAATAATTAAAGCACACCAAAATTAATACAAACACCTTAGAAACTTTAAAACTTTTTATTCAACAACATACACTTAGTCTCAATTTGAACTACAAATTTCTCAAGGTTTTTTTTTCTGATAGAATTAAATCTGGATATTTTGTAGTGTTGTCATTTTTACTTTTAAAACACTGAACATGAAGTAAGACATCAAAAGGAAGATTATCATGTAACTGACACTTCCTCAGAATCCATGACATCAAAAAAAAGCTGTGGCAAATCTCTAAGCATAATGGGTAAACTTCTGGCCATTTTTTCTATCTAGAAGTCTCCCCTTGACCCCTTAAACTGGGAAAAACGAACATTTACACTTTTTTTTTCTTTTGTTAGGGAATGGAAAATAGCCTCTAACATAACTACAGTTCACTATTCTTTCCCCTAAAATAAGAGGAAATAAAGCTAAATCCCTATGCACACAAAACACAAGCTATTCTGCTCCTCCAACATGTTTTAAGACTGAACGTTTAATATATTTGTTGGAGGAGCAGAATAGTTTGTGTTTTGTGTGCTCACACATAGTGAAATGCTAAGATGATGCCAGCTACACTCCTGCCTTCTAAGGCCTCAACATAATGGACCACCTCGAGTCCTCGCTATTAGACCATTATAAACTGTCATTATAAACAGATACCCAAAGTTTTGTTGTGTCTTTAAAGTCAACAACATACATCAAGAGCACACTTGATGTCTACACACACACAAAGTGTAAAATGGAGACATGGGGGGGGATGCTATTAGTATTACCTCCTACTTAAGCTTTTAGCTTCTCCCACAGGTCCTGAAAAAGATTTTTTTTAATAATCCAAAATGAATTGACAAAAACTGCCAGTTTAAACAACCAAATACGCATACATATGAAGTAAAGCTATTTAATACATGCAGACTGCAGCACCTGAAGCAAATGTGTCCAATCTCCAAACTTGTTCTAGTCAGGTTGGTTAGTTTTTCTAAAAAAAAATATACTTTTGAAGCAACCTGCTTTTTGAGTTGTAAATTATTCTAATCTCAGAGCAGCCATTCAGTATGTTTTGATGCTAAAGCAATAAAGGTAAAAATGCTATCCTACCTTTAAACCAGCTTTAAGACAAATCAAGAGTTCTATGTGGTAAAGGTCCTTCCTTCATTTCAGTCTGAACTACTTCTCATTTCTGTTCCATCAAATAAGCAAAAATTCCACTGAGGAACAGCATCCAATGGCTTGTAAAGCTGATGAAACTGTCCTGTTTCAAGAAAAGCCCTTTAGTAATACAAGTCAGGTTCCCATTTAAACTGAACTTTAATAAAACAGGAGCCAATTTACCTCTTTTCTAGTTTCACTGATGAGCTATCTCAGAACTGACTGAGCCATTTTCAAAGATGCTGAAGCTAACAGCAAAGTAACGAACAGTTAGGTCACTTTTGGTAATGACACACAAATTAAAACTTTCAAAACATGTGCATAGCTTTATTCATCTACTTAGATCTAACCTTTTCACGGAGCTTCGGCAAAATTCGAGTGTGCAAAATGCATTTCTAAAACGTAACGCAAGCAAAGCTTTTCACATTTACACTGGCAGAAAATACAGAGAAACTAACAAGTCACATTTGGGAGAGTTCAGATTTTCTTTTAATGACAAGAATTGCACAGTTTATTATTTTGAGACAGTTGTTGCAGACATAAATATTTAAAATCTTCTAAGCAAGGTGCTTTAACAATAAAAAATTTTAAAGTTGGTAAAAGCCGATAACTTGGTTCATAGCTCATACAGAATTCCAAATTAAAATGGACTTGATTATCTCCCTAAATTTTGAAAACAATGTTTATAACACTTTTTAAAGTAACACTAAAAGAGACAGCAAGCTGATACTTTTTTTCAAAGCACACAAGAAATGGTGTCATCACATTACTTGAAGGTGCTGGAGGTGGGGGGGAGAGAAAGAGCAAGAAATTCTTTTACTGTTTCCCACTACAGAACAGCCACTAACACACTAAAAACAAAAAAGAAACAACAACAAAAAAAACCACTTCCCCAGTTTATAAAATAGTTCCAGTTTGACAAGGTCTATAACTTTAAACAGAGAGCACCAGTTGGGCAATAGAATGAGCATTTCATACTGCATAAAGATCAGTGAGTGGTAAGAACCATCAACTATCTCAGGCATTACTACATGGCCTTTCCAAAAAATTTCAATATACATGCAAGGCACATTGATATAAAAATAGATCTCTGGCCAACAAATATATTAAATAAGCAAATTAAAATTTTGGCTTTACAATATTGGCAACATCAAAATATAACCAGATAGCTTTGGACCACACTCTTTATCATATTCTTCTATCCCATTTGGTGTTTTCCCCCCACTGTCTTGGGTTTCATCTCCTTCAAGTTCGAGTATGTGCTTGAGAAAGGATTTTTCCTCTTGTCAGGTAGCACTCCTATTCTACTTAAGTTTATCCTTCCTAAGTAATAGACTAGAGAAGCAGGATTAGTTGGGAGTTGTCATATCTGATTAGACTACATATGTGTGGATCATGGCAGCATTATTCCTCCTTTGTATGTAGAAAAAAAATACCCAGCTTATATATTAGGTAATTGTTTTCTTTCTAAAAGATCAGCAAAAACCAATGATGGTTCTTTTAAGCCATTCTTGCCAATTCCTTTCTGAGGCAGAGAGGGAGCAATGAACAAAGCTTAGAATCAAAATATTTTCAGTAGTAGAACACCTTAAGGCCAAAAAGTGTAGTATTAGCCGAACTTTTATTCCCTTAAGTTAATTGTCCTTCACCGGCCAATAGCAACTGTGGATTATTCGCTTGTACTGATTCCCTCTCAGAGAATATAATTCATTCACTTTTGTTAGTGGCTGTGCTATAGGAAATATCAAAGCAACCTATGGTATATATGTATATGTATGATATATAGAAATGTAGAAAGTGCATCACATTCTTGATTTTCAGTTTCTCATAGCAGCAGAATTAATCTAAGACAGAACAGTTGTATCTTCATCCTAAAAATGCAACTATACCTAATGAAATGTATTTGAGATCTTGAAAGATCCTTTATAAAGAATAAATGAAAACACACTAAGACACATGGACAAACTAATGGCATTCATTCATATTTACATATTATAACCATTGTTAATACCAATCTTTACATCCAGCAAAAGAAATACGCATTTAATAAAGCAATGTTACTAGAGCAGTATCCATTTTTGGAGCCTTTGTTTATTAGCACCTGAGGAAAAAAGGGTGTATGGAAAGCTGTACAAATTATCTCAAGTTGGTCTGTAGAATACACTTTATATACAGTGGAAGTAAAACTTAATTGGAAAATGTTCATAACTTTAGTAATTATAACGTTTGCAATTTTAATAAGGCTATAAAAAAGGGATACTGCAGTATTATAAAAATGGCTTTAGAACTCTGGACATAACTGAAATTTTATGAATAGTGAAATCTGAATCAACAACCAACATCACATTTGATGGCTGTTCCATAGTTCCTAACTGCTATTGATATTCTCAGCAATGCATCATCCTGGGTATTTTTTATTATGCAGGCAACTTAAAAAACTATTCCTTCTATTGTCTGCATTCTTTAACTACTTTGAGCAGCAAAATGGTGTGAATTTAGTGTAGAACCCTGTAGAGCAGTGCTTTTGAGAGGTAATGATTTACCATTTGTTAAACCAACCCAGGGTGCTCCTGGCTGTCACACATATGAACCAATTTTGAAAAGAAATATTTTAATATATCCAAAGCACAAGATCATCATTTTTCACCAAAGAATACTGCTACTGTCAATCACATTAATAATACCAACCTTAACCTATGTGCCTCTGGTCTAGTTCTCTGCCCATCCTTTCTAAACAAATTGGAAAGAAGGGAGATAAACCTGTCCTACCCTCTTTTAAAGACAGCAAAGTTACGAGTGTTCTAGCAAGTTCTACTTTGACTGACAAAGAGCATCAACAGATCTGATGACAAAAATTTACTCTCCATCACCTCTGTATCTGGTCCCTATACTGTATTTGTTCTTCAGTCAGCCAAAGTACTTAAGAGTGATCATCCTTTACTAAAGGACACAGCCTGGTGGCACAACCACAGTCCCTTAGCAATTGGACCATTATCCTATTTCTCTTTAGAAGAATGAGTCCCTCCTTATTCAGTGAAATTTTAAAAAGTAAAATCTTATTAATTTATTTGCCTGTGGTCATTTCATACATGATGAACAAGTTCACACTAAATGGCTTTTTTGTGTTTAAGTTTACAGCATGACAAAACATAAATCATTAAATGCTTCTGATGAGGGTTAGCAACCAGCTTAACAACCAGGTATGAAACTATCACTGCCATATACTATTCTGTGACACCATTTTGTTTTTTGGACAATTTCCATACTTGAGTTTTATCATATTCCAACTAAAAACTGTTATTTGAGAAAAACAATGCAGCATTTTTTTTCTGTATAGTTTTTGCAGGTTTTGAGCAATGACTAGGTAAGCAGATTAAATAGGACAGAAAAATTCAAAAGTGGAGAGAAGCTCCAGCCATTTATTTCAAGAAGGAAAAAAAGCGGTCATTAACAAAATATCTTATTACTGGCTATCCCCTCCTAGAAAGTAGGAGGAAAAAGAGCGACTACAGTTTCTGTAAATACACTTCATGTGCAGGCTCATCACTAAGAAGGTTATAGGAAAGGCTATGCAATTAACTTCAGTTCAGCAAAGTGGGAGTGAATAAAAAGATAAATACACCCTGTCTTTTGTGGGGAGGGGAGATTATTCAACACATCTACATGAGAGTGGTATGTGACACAGACACCTACAATCAGGACAAATTGTTAAAGAAATCTTCATCAATAATTAGTATCTTCATAGCTATTAAAAAAATAGGTCATGATTTCATTCTTAGTGCCATTTTTCAAATACTACCCTTTTAAAGAATTTAAACCACCTGACTGTGTAATGAAAACAAATGGCACAAAATAAATACAAGTTTCATCCTCTGAATACTAATATAACATCTTACACATATTCATTTACTAATTTTTAACATCTCCATCTTTCCCTCACATACAAGCACTCAACACACACACACACATACACACACACACACACCTTTTTCAGTCTTTATAATGGAGGGATTTTTTAAATAGTCCCTCTAGACTGTATTTGGTTTATGCTACAGTACTAATACTCTGAGTTGAAGGAAAATTCATTATGCCGAACAGTAACACATTAATGTTATTTAAATGTGCTAAATTAATCACAGCTGAAGTTTTAGAAGCTTACACAAAAATAATCAGAAAACAGATCAACTCTTAACATTTTTTTTAATAAGTGCTCTGTAAGGAATTGTGTGAGGACCTAAGGAGAAAGATTGCAACAAGTAGAATTAAAAGTGTTACCAATCAGCACAAAGGAGATTTGTCTCAAAGTCCTGCTTGAACCTAGGCAATTTAGTCCATTAAACCAAGTGCCCAGAAGATACTGATAGTTTATATGACAGGGCAACTAGGGTTCCCAGAAAGTTAACAGACGTTCTTAGCTACTGTATACCTCTAACTATATTATTAAGGAAATTTTAGTGGAAAAATCAAAAGTGAAATGTTGCATTGTTTCATTTAAAAGTGAGACTTTAAAAAACCTTTGGACAAAGAGAGAAGGGACACATTCTCGTTTTGGCTTCTCTGAACATGGAGGCCTAAGGGATATGGAAGGGAATTAGAAAAGTGACAGCAATAAAGATATTTAAGTGTTGCTTCTAAGTTAAAAAGCCCAATTCAGACAGGAGTTGGATCTTTTTTTTTTTTTTTTAAATAGACATATTCACTCAACCTCTATGTCACAAACCCAGAAAGTTTCGTGTGAGCTGTGGGACAGAATAACTTTAAAATCCCAGGCAAGCAAAATGGACATTTAAAAAAGGGAGGTGGAGGGTCGGGGATCTGGCCCTAAGGCGACAAGTGGTTACACAAGGCAATTGAACACACAGCAGAACTTTAAAACCTGTAAAACAAACTGGAGCCTTTTTTTTTTCTTTAATCAACCTTATGTATTTTTTAAAAACTTTTTGAAATTTTTTATTTAAAAAACACAAACACAGACTCTTCACTTCAATATGTGGTACGTTGCATTTTCCAGTTTGTTCAATGCTTTAAAGCTCAAGGATGCCTCTACTCTCAATTATACATGGGCCTGAAGCATCCTAGCTTTTGGCAAGCAGGCAGGAGACTTGAACAAAAAATAAGAACAAGGCAGACTAAAAGCAGGGCACATCTGTAAACATATTATACATTTGAAAATTACAATTACCAGTAAAAGTGATACAGCTTACAGGTGACATGAAACTATTTGGAACTGGCCTACCACAAGTTTCTGAACCTGGACTGATACAATAAGTTATTATATATATATATTATGTATAAAAAGTTTTGTTTACATCAAGTGGAATTGGCAATCCATGCTCATACTCTTAAAAAAAATTCTAAGCAGGGCAGAAATCCGGACTAAAAAGATATTTTTCCTATTCTATGTTGAGTCCAATGTCTTCTTTCATGAACTACTTGTTAGAAGTCTCAAATAATCAACAGAACAAGAAAACCCATTCACTCTACAGTTGCTCACAACTGGACATTTCTTAAGCAAAGGAGTAGAGCAAAAGTAGTTACCCTCTCCCAAATACCCCCAGGAGATCCAGTCTACTTTTATTAAAAGACTACAACTCTTTAAATAAATGCCCTGCTACTTTAATCTGTATTTAACATACATGGATATACTAATTTCTCTGTGTGTGTGAATGTGATGCTGTCAGGCCAGAGAACTTGTTATTATGCCACTAACAACACCCAATCTTAAATTGGACCTTTAATTTCTGCACACACACACAAATTTCTTTTAGCATGCTATACACAAGCTGCAGTCAAACAAGATGGCAATGTGATGGTAAGACAGGGCTAATACTTTTCTCTGCCCAAAAGATAATTTCCAGAATTTCACATTATTTTCCTTAAAAAAACCCATTTTGCTCTAGTAATAAAATATATTTATTAAGATACAATTAGAAGCTAATAAGCTTAGAAGTACGATTTGTACACCATCTACAGGCAGGATCTTATTATTTCCTCACTATCTAAAAACATGAAATTTTAATTTTCATGGGCATCCCCCTCTTTAGATTTTGCTTAGAAATTAAGAAATTTTACAGAAAGATACAAAAGTTTCTCTTAAATGTTTGATGAAAAACAGAAAACAGCACATTTAGTGTTAGTTGACAGAGAGCAAGTCTGGAGCACCTACAGATGAAAAGCAGAGTATTTTTGCTCCCAGTTACACAATTACATTAAAATATGGTCAAAGGGACTACTTTTTCCACATCTCAGCCAATTGCTTGTTCTGTAACTTTTCTATTAATGACAATCATGGATTTCTCAGTTGCTAAAGTCCAACATGCTATCAAGCCAAGTTAACCAGGTATCCACAAACTATTCCAGAACTGTAGCACTTCAATGCCCTCCCCTATTCCCATCCCTTAAAAAAAAAAAAAAAAAAAAGAAAGAAAAAGAAACAAATATCCCACCCCCCCCAACATCCTACAGAGGCTGCTTAACTTCTGGCAAGACATGCAAATTATATTCGCTAAAAAAAACAAAACACATATACCCCTGCAAACTTCAAGGCATTTATCCAGAACTGTTGCAGGGTTAAAGTAAAAACAAAGGATCAAGGGAGGAGTAGGGGAAATGTTGAATTATTCTGGGTTCCCCGTGATTAGTGTATCAATTCAGTCACAGAACAAGAATAGAGATCTTTTAAGTGGATTTGCCTTTCCAGTGGGTCATTTGTTGCCCAAGTTGATGACAGCAGGAACTTCAGAACCACGCTTGTTAAGTCTGTATTCATTAATCACTTGCATTCACACTTAAAAACAAAAACTAACAAAGAAGAAAAAACTATGCAGTACCGGAGATTAAATAACCATGTGTAGTCTCTTGAAATAAATTTGATTCCTTAAGAAGTCTAATTACTTTCAGTTGCCTTTTTTTTAAATAACTATATATATATGTATATATATATATATTTGTATATATTATCCTGTGATTCTACTTATGGTTCCTCTGCTGCGTTGAAGATCTAGGAGCATAAAAGCCTTGTGTCCCCCATGAACGGTGGCTCTAATGCTGCAGAAAGGTTACGATTAGGCAGTCGGGTCCTTCACTGATCTGGACTATCCATGGCTTCATTGTAAGTGATTATCCTTTTGGGATCTGGAGAATTAAACAAATAAATAAGGTTGAAATATTTTTGTTTCAACACATCCCAATCATTCAAATCGCCCTCTTTTTATAAAAACACAATCTAAAGGTCATTTATATTCTGCATTAACACACACAATCCAGTAGTTGTTTTGCATTTCAACAGAATTGTAGCAACAATGTCTTCAAGGTTTCAACTTCTAGACTAGTCATAATTCAGCACATTATTCCTAACTATAAAATTAGTGTATTTTTAAGTGGTTGGATGAAGAAAAAGGCTAAAGTCATTAATAATTCAATATGGAAATAACTGGATATGCATTTTTTCTAAGATTTGCTTCTTCATTTGAAAGATATCTTCCATCTACTGGTTCACTCTCAAAGTAACTGTAATGTTCAGATAGGAGCCAAGTTGGAGCCCAGAACTTCTTCTAGATCTCCCACTAGCCGTGACGGCGTGGCCTAGCAGCTAAAGTCCTCACTTTGACCGCTCCAGAATCCCATATGGGAGCTGGTTCTAATCCCAGCAGCTCCACTTTCCATCAGGCTCCCTGCTTGTGGCCTAGGAAAGTGGTCAAGGACGGCCTAATGCTTTGGGACCCTGCATCCGTGTGGGAGACAGATGGAACATCTTTCTCTGTCTCTCCTCCTCTGTTTTTCTGACTTTTCAATAAAAGCTTTTCAACGTATACATGCTTTAATAATGAAAGTAGAACTTGCAACTTATGAAAAAAATATATCTAGAAATTATACTCAAGAGTTCAATCTTAACTCAGCTTAAGACTCTAGTTTGGCTTGTCACATTTGGGTTGCAGGAAAGCAATTTGTATTTTCTTTTCAAAAAGTATATAGCCCAGATGTTTCTGTAACTATTATTTTTCTAAATTATCTCAATTTAATTTCTTCAGATAGCCCACATCTACACTAAAATACAGATAAAAAGTATCCAAAGATAGAAACACTCATTCATGCTAGTATCCCAGGGTTTCAGCCCTGGCCAGTGTGGGTATCTGGGAGTGAACCAGTAGATTTTACTTTGCTTTTTTTAGTCTCTGGCTCTCAAATAAAACTAACTACATTTATTAAATAACTTAAAAATACAAAATCTGTTTTTGGTAGGCCACTGTTTATTATTCCCAAACACAATGTCCTGTGATTATTAATTAGTTACGAATATACCAAGTCATCTATCTAAACATTCTTACCTTGCTTCTGTAAATTCCAAATAGATTCCATTTCTGCAAAGGAAAAAAAAACTGGTAAATGCTGGGTTAAAGTTATAGTTGAAAACAGAACAATTCTGTGACAAAGCACTTGTCATTTTAAGTTAATCACAAAAAAAGTTATTATCTGAAATTGGTATAACCACTTTATTTTCCAAATAGCAGATATGCAGAAGCATTTGTATAAATATTTTTCATAACACATAAAACATTTCTCATAACATTTCATAATTTTTTTTAAAAGAATCTATTTTTATTGGAAAGGCAGATTTACTGGGAGGAGACAGAAGGAAGATTTTCCATCTGATAGTTCACTCCCCAAGCAGCTAGAGCCGAGTCAACCCGAAGCCAGGAGCCAGGAGCTTCTTCCAGGTCTCCCACACGGGTGCAGGGTCCCAAGAGTGGGCCGTCCTCGACTGCTTTCCCAGGCCACAAGCAGGGAGCTGGATGGTAAGCGGGGCTGCCAGGTTTAGAACCGGTGCCCTTATGGGATCCTGGCATGTTCAAGGCAAGGACTTTAGCCACTAGGCTATCATACCAGGCCCAACATTTCATAATTAAGAACATCAAATGCTCCTTAGCAAAGAATCATTCCAAATATAGAGAATCATTCAGCAAATCTGGTTAATTAGACTTGATGGTTAGCTTATGCATTCAGCCAAGTTGCTTTAAAAACATCTTTAACCTTAAAGTCAAAATGTCAACAATTATGACGGCATTTAATCCTCATTTGGTCCAATTTCATTCAAAATGTCTAATGTATTTTCACACCTTAAAGATAGCCAAACAATGATGATACAGAGGGCAGCAGAACTGTAAAACAATGGATGACTACTGCACTACAACCTTCAAAGAACAAGTAATGGGGTCTGTGTTGTGGTGGAGCAGTTTAAGTTGCATCTTGGGACACACGTGTCTGGTATCAGAGTACTAGTTTAAGTCCTATTTCCTCTTAACAATGTGCCTGGGAAGGCAGACAATGGCCCAAGTAAATATAGGGACAGTCACATACGAGACCCAGACGGAGTTCTTGGTCCTGGCTTGGAGAGCAAATCTGCACATGGAAGCTCTTTCACCCTGATCCCAGACATGGGGGGCGGAGGGATATGATTATATTAGTATGGAAACAATGGTCTTACCCACTTTCCTATAGTTCTTGACTTTTAGTACCCTAATCAACTATGTGAATTATCCAAAAATAAATAAAATAGGTTAAAAAAATTTCAGACCAAGAGATTATTATTCAAATGATTCTCTTATCCAGTTAAATTCCATTCAATTTATTTCTGTGCAGCGATTTCTGGTTAAACTAAAGCTGGGAATAACATTCTGCCACCTGTCCAAGTTTAGTTGTACACCTAGGCCTTCAAAACTGAATAGATTCTATGCAGATAGGTAGGAAAATTCCTTGTCATTGGAGTTCTATAATCAATCTACTTGGAGGAAAAAAGGACATTTTCAGGAATCAAAATTTAGCCATCAAGATCACACCAATCACTAATACAATGCCCAATATCCCAATAAAATCCTCAATTTTTAGTTCCATACCATAAAAAATAGATGATGCCTGTCTTATATGGTCTAATAGGTTAAGCCACCTTTTGCAACCCCTAGGGACATCACTTTGTTCCTCATATCTCAGTTCCCTCCCTTCTAATGCACCTTGAAAAGCATTGGGAAGATGGCTCAAGAACCTGACATCTTACCATTCCACATGGGAAACCTGAATGGGACCTCTCGGTTCCCGATTGCAGATTGGCCCAGTTATTCAGAGTGAACCAGAGCATGGAAGGTATCTCCACACGCTTGTACCACGCCCAATTACAGCTTTCAAATAAAATAAAAAAATCCCAGAGCAACAGCCTGCAAACTGGGTGTCTACCCAACGCTGTGTATACAAATTAAGGTTTACTGCAAGTCACACCCACTGTTTACATACGACCTATGTTGGCTTTCACTCTACAAAGGAGAATCAAGTACTAAGTAGCTATCAATAAGATCCTATGATTCTCAGCACCTAAAATTATATTATTTAGCCCTTAATACAGCAAGGACATTAGTACTTGTAGCAGTAGTAGGGCTGAAAAAGTCCCAAAACTGCATGAGTCAGAGGAAGAACCAAATTTTATGAAAGATACACAGGTTCTGGCGTGCTGGCCTAGTGGTTAAAGTCCTCGCCTTACACACATAGGGATCCCATATGGGCGCTGGTTCCCATCCCAGCTGCTCCGTTTCCCTTTCAGCTCCTTGGTTGAGGCCCGGGAAAACAGCAGAGGATGGCCCAAAGCCATGGGACCCTGCACCCATGAGTGAGATATGGAACAAATCCCTGCCTCCTGACTGAATCGGCTCAGCTCCAGCCATTGTGGCAACTTGGGGAGTAAACCAACAGAGTTGTCCTTTTTCTTTGTAAATAGCCTTTCCAATTAAAAAAAAAAAAAAAGACATACAAACGGGCAGGTGCAACAACTCAATTGCCTACTTCCCCACCTTCAAGCACCAGGAATCCATATGGGAACTAGTTCATGGCCCAGCTGCTGTTTTCTATCCAGCTCCCTGACTACGGTCTAAGAAAGCAATGGAAGATGGGACCTTGCACGCACATGGGAGAACCAGAAGAGGCTCCTGGCTTCTGACTGGCTCAGCTCCAGCTACTGCAGCCATTTGCAGAGTCAACCAGTGGATTGATTATCTTTCTGTCTCTATAAAACTGCTTTTCCAATAAAAATAGATCAGTCTTTAAAAAAAGAAAGGAAGGAAAGAAAAGGAACAAATTAAGAAATCAGGACTCCAAGATAACCTTTGAGGAACAGAGGAAAGTCTCTCACCCAAGGTTATATTGACTAAGTCAAGGAAATTAAAAATATTTAGAAAGAAAGGTTTTAGATATCTTGTCATCTACCCTTCTCTCTAGTCCAATATTACTGCTGTGGATTCCTGAAATTGTCTCTAGTGGTCATTTTGTCATGTCTTGGTCTCTATTTTCTACAATACGACTAGCACTACCTTCCTTAAAAAACAATGTGGGGCCCGGGGCGATGGCACAGTGGTTAAGGCCTCGCCTTGCACGCCCGGGATCCCATATGGGCGCTGGTTCTAATCCCTGAAGCCCTGCTTCCCATCCAGCTCCCTGCCTGTGGCCTGGGAAAGCAGTCGAGTACGGCCCAAGGCTTTGGGACCCTGCACCCGCGTGGGAGACCTGGAAGAGGCTCCTGGCTTCGGATTGGCATAGCATCGGCCGTTGTGGTCACTTGGGGAGTGAATCATAGGACTGAAGATCTTCCTCTCTGTCTCTCCTCTCTGTATATCCACCTTTCCAATAAAAATAAATCTTAAAAAAAATATAAATAAATAAAATAAAAAAACAATGTGGGCTGGCATTGCAATATAATGGGTTAAGTAGCTACCTGCAATGCAGACATTGGATATAGGCACTAGCCCCACTGTTCCACTTCCCATCCAGTTTCCTGCTATATGGGCCTGGAAATGCAGTGGAAGAGGGCCAAAGTGCTTGGGTTCTGGCTTAGGAGACCTGAATGAAGCAACCAGTTGAGAAATAAACCAATGAATTGAGGATCAGTCTCAGGGGCCCAGCATGGTGGCCTAGTGGCTAAGGGTCTCGCCTTGCATGCGCCAGGATCCCATGTGTCCTGCTTCCCATCCTAGCTCCCTGGGATATTGGCACCACAGGGTGGACTAGCTTGCTGCACTACCATGCAGGTCCCACTTAAGTTTATTCTTTTCCAAATAGGCCTGTTAGAAACTTCTCCTGTCCTTTAGTTTTTCCAGTTTGACTATATTCAGCAAAAAGCACACCATAGTTAAGTAAATTTGAATTAAAGTTAACTAGAAATCATCTTAAGCAGACAATTATCTTTGATTTATTGGTTTTAATCCTACATCCCCAACTTCAAGTTATAAATCACAAAACGCCTATCTGTGTAAAATACCTCTAAATGCATACAAAAGAAATTTAGAAGCCAACTTGGCTTTGTTATTTTTCTTTTCTACTCCTATATTTATCCTAATTTAGTTTTTACTTCACAAAGGTAAAAACCTGGATGCTCAACTGACAGATTACTGGAGAAAGAGGATCTCAGAAGTCTTATATACATTTAGATGCATTCTATATTTAGAGAAAAACAGGGCCCCTTCCTAAACATATTTTTAAAAATTCACAAAATTGCAGCCAGTGTAGTGTAACAGGCTACTCCTTCACTTGCATGCATCAGCATCCCAAATGCATTTGGGTTCATGTCCTGGCTGCTCCACTCCTGACCCAGCTCCCATGGAGAGACCAGAAGTGCCTGGCTCTAGACTAGCTCAGCTCTGGCCACTGTAGAACCAGCATATAGAACATCTTTTTGTCTCTCCTCTCTGTAGATGTGTCTTTCTAATAAAAATACATCTTCAGAAAAATTAAAATTGCCAACATATGCAAATATATTATCAGAAAGATGTAACCCTGCAATCATTCATGAATCAAAAATATCTACTACATTAAAAGTCCAGACTCTTTTGTAAACATCCCTAGATAGCTTTGGCATTCAGTAGGCCATTATAGCTATTTGGGGAATGAACCCATGAAACAAAAAAAGTAAACCAGGACCAGCACGGTGGCTAAAGTCCTCACCTTGAACGTGCCAGGATCAAATATGGGCACTGGTTCTAATCCTGGTGGCCTTCCAGCTCCCTGCTTGTGGCCTGGTAAAGCAGTCGAGAACAGCCCAAATCTTTGGGACCCTGCACCCATGTGGGAGATTCAAAAGAAGTTCCCGACTCCTAGGTTTGGATTGGCGCAGCAGGAGCTGTTGTCTCCACTTAGGGAATGCATCATCGGATGTTAGATCTTTCTGTCTCCTCTCTGTATATCTCACTTTCCAATTAAAAAAAAAATCTTAAAAAAAAAAAAAGTAAAATTTGCTTTAAAAACTTTTGTGTCATTTCTTTTCTACTTAAAGTCTTTAAACAACTTATGATTTGGAACTGGAAGAGAGACAAATGTGAGTTTTACACAGTACGCACTGTTTAGGATGCTGCATTGGGAGGCTCACATCATGTGTAAGTGCTTGAGTTCAAATATTAGCTCCGTTCTCTATTTCACTTTCCTGCACATGTGAACTCTGAAAAGCAGTTTATGGCTCAAGTCATTGGGTTTCTGCCATCTACAAGACATATCCAGACTGAATTTTTGTCTTCTGGTTTCCACCTGACTCAGTCCCAGCTGTTGCAAGCATCTGGAGATTGAACCAAGACTTGGAGTGATTGCTCCCTGCCTTTCAAATAATTAATAAAGTCAGATTTTACAGACACTTTCCATCTGCTGGCTCACCCCCCAAATGGCTACAATGACCAGAGTAGAGATCATCTAAAAATACCCAATTTATACTAGCAAACAGTGACCAGTGCAGAAAACAGCGGCAAAGAAAGAAGGATTATGCCAACAAAGTAGTTTCTTATTCTCTAAATATATACAACGAAAGAACCCCTGTGCTGCAACGGGCTGGGCCTGCAGTGCGAGCATCCATTGTGCAGTTGTTCAAAGTTCAAGACCCAGTTGCTCCATTTCCCATCCAGCTCCCTGCTTGTGGCCTGGGGAAAGTAGCAGAGAATGGCTCAAGTCCTTGGGACCCTGCACCCATGTGAGAGACCTGGAGGAGTCTATTTGGGAAATGAACCAAAGCATGGAAGATCTTTCCTTCTGTAGCTCTGCCTTTCAAATACTAGAGAGCTGTTTAACATTTGCTGATGACGTTTTAAATGTCTAAGCTGGATAATGGAATGAACCAGCTACCTGGGTGCCTTATCACCCATACGGGAGACCTGGATAGAGCTCCTTGTCCCTAGAACTGGCCTGGCTCAGACCTAGCTGTTGCAGTCATTCTTTCCTCTTTGTTGCTTGGCCTTTCAAATCTGAAAAAGAACTTTAAAAAAAGTATCACAAGGTAGATCTTTCATTCACTGGTTCACTTCACAAATAGCTGCAATGGCTAGAGCTGGAGCTAGGCAGGTCTAAAGCCAAGAGCTTCAAGATTTTTCATACGGGTGCTGGGACCCACATATGTGGTCATCTTTCCTGTGCTTTCCCAGGTACATTAGCAGGGAACTGGATCAGAAACAGAATAGCCTGGACTGGAACCACTGCCCATGGGGTGCCAGTGTTGCACGTGGAAACTTAGCATGCTAAGTCACAGTGCCAATCCCTGAGACAGCCTTTCTTTTTTTTTATATATAATAAAAGCAAAATGTACCACCCGAGATACACATGATGCTCCTGACCCAGCTCTGGCTGTTGCAGTCATCTGGGAAGTCAGCCAGCAGATGTAAGATCCCTCTATCTCCTCTAACTTTGCCTTTCAAATAAATAAATGTTTAAAAACAAACAAGCAAGAAAGCAAACACCACTTTGGAACCAGTGTTTTTGGGTTAGCAAGTGAAGCTGCTGTGATGAGTGCATCCCACATACTAGTTCATCTACCAGCTGTCTACTTCTACTCCAGTTCCCTACCATCAGTTCAGATAAGCAGAAATGGCCCAGGCCCAAAGTTTAGGATCCTGTACCCACATGGAGATCCAGAGGAAGCTCTTGGATTTAGCTGGGCCCAGGTCTGGTCAATGCCTCCTCTGCGGAGTGAACAGGCAAGGACATCACTTGATAAGCGATTTTTCCACATAAACTTAAAAAAAAAAATCAAAATATACACCACTCCTAAAGTGACATAACTTACCGATAATTTCCAACCTAAATGCCTTAAGATTTTTTCTTTAAAGTTAAAAGACTGTATAGTTTTAGGCCTAATTTGCACTTAATAAGAGACTGCTACAAACAGGAGGTAAAAAAAAAGGCATGTAGTTAGTGGGTAAAACTATTGTCTGGGATACTGGCAGCCCCTATGAGTGCTGTTCCTGCTGTTGCACAATGCAACTGGGACAAGTAGAAGAGAATGGCTGAAGTACTTGTGCTTCTACTACTGCCCACATGAGACCTGCAAAGCTGGTCGCTTTGGCCTGGCCAGGTCACAGCCACTGAAGCTATCTGGGGAATAAATCTTTGGCCCTTCTTGTTTCACATATAAAGAAAGAATACTTTTACAGAAGAAATTCTGCTTTTACAAAAGAAATTCCAACAGGCCTAAATGATTATTACATCTTAGGACCTGAAAAAAAGTTCACGTATTAAAAAGATCTTCAGATCACCAAAAATGCTAGGATAGTAAACAGAAAACTAGTGAACAAATGGATCACCTAGTGGAACAATTTTACACCTGCCAAAAATTCAACCTGCTGGGCCCGGGACAGTAGCCTAGTGGTCAAATCCTCCCCTTGCATGTGTTGGGAATCTCATATGGGAACTAATTCCTGTCCCTGCTTGCTGGTCTGGGAAACTGTAGAGGATGGCCCAAAGCCTTGAGGCCACGTGGGAGACTCAGAAGAAGCTCCTGGCTCCTGATCGGCTCAGCTCCAGTTGCTGCAGCCACTTGGGGAGTGAACCAGAGGATGGAAGATCTTTTTGTCCTCTGTAAACCTGACTTTCCAATAAAAACAATACACACACACACACAAAACCTGAAAGAAAGGAAGAAAGAGCAAGGCATTTCTTTTCACCCTCACTGTCCTAAAAACAGCTAGTTCCAGGCTAAAACTGATTTAGCTCAAAAAAACAAAGCTGGAGAACAAGTAAAGATAGGTATATTTCCCCTGCCAGGAGTCATTTTAACTTCCATAAGGCAATTCTACTGTTTCCCCCTTTTTTCAAGGGAGAATATAAGGAAGACACTAGTTTATTGTACTAAATAAATGCTTTCCAGGTTGTAAATAAGGAAACCTATAAAGCATTAAATTTCTTCAAAAGTCACATAAAAATTTCATCATTCATCTCTGAGACAATGATTTCCATGGAAAATATTGTAATTATCTCACACCCACAATCTGATATGCTTATCACTCTCAGCAATTCCAAGTCATGCCTAAATGAGCCACTGTTAAAGTGGGAATGTGCAATTTATGTTAACTGTGTACATGCAAGCACATGGTTCAGATGCTACAAGGGGGCAGAGGTGGAAATGGTATAAGGACTTAAAAGCCCTATCCTCAAAAGCGATAATCATTAATTAAAATATCCTTACTTTTCATTAAGAATTTAAATTATAGCTATGCCGCATGGCAAATTTTAAGACACAAATAAATCACATTCTAAGAAAGTTATTGGTGTATTGAACATATCCCATCAAGGGCTTTCGAACTATAAAAATGACTGACTTTCAAAAGCCCAGTGCAATTGCGCTTGTCACTGTAACTTATTTTCTAAATTATATCCAAAATGCATTATTCCTTCTTAAAACAGAAGCAGGACAAAGCATGGTAACCTACTGGCTAAAGTCCTCAGCCTTGGATGCATAGGGATTCCATTATGTCCTGGCTGCTTCACATCCCATCCAGCCTGAGGCCTGGAAGAGCAGTTAAGGGCAGCCCAAAGCCCTGGGACACTGTACCCTAGTGGGAGACATAGTTCCTGGCTCTAGATCAGCTCAACCCTGGCCGTTGTGGCCATTTGTGGAGTAAATCAGCAGATGGAAGATCTTTGTCTCCGACACTCCTCTCTGTAATTCTGACTTTCCAATAAAGATACATCTTTAACAATAATAAAATCTTAAAAAATACAGGACAGGAAATAACTGCCCCCAAAACATAATTTTTGAAGAGCTCATGAGATAATACAAGGTCACTCCTCTGGGCAAGCACTACCTCTAATCCTCCAGCCACAAAGAAGGTAAATAATATCTGTCACATAAGCAATGTTTTTGAGTTGGAAAAATGAGCATTCCTTCTGAAGTTTTACCATACTATTGCCAAATACCCTGAATGAAGCATTTGAAGTTCTTATCCATACTGTCATTCTCAATAACCTCTGAAACAAATCTTCCAAAATTTACTCTTAATTCAAATCAAAATAAGTTAGCTGGTAAAAATTTTTGTATAAGAAACAAGTAATTACCTTTAGTGTGATATACAATAGCAGCCCTCAGGTCAAAAGAACCCCAGCTATCATTTCTTTCTAGGCCTCTCTGGTATCTTTGTTCTTTGGCGGAGCCTAATAAAGTGTTCGTAGGAGAGGCCAAAGGATTTTGATTTTCTATCTCGTAGTCCTTTGAGAGAAACACTAAAGCACCTTGACTACTGGTGTCTGCTTTTTGCAGGTCACCTATATGACTGGGTTCCAAGGATAAGGCTCCACTCTCATTAGTAGTCCCAGGTTTTAGAATGCTACTCAGAACTTGAGGACTAGTCCGTTTCTCCAGCTCATAAGCCTTGGGAAACACAGGATGCTCAGTTCCTGAGGGGATTATTTCAGCACCCTGTGAAACCAAAGTAGCAGGATATTCTCCTTGAAATGTCACTTCCATCACTTTATGATCTGATGACTTCCCAATAACAGTCTCAGGGCCAGCACTGGGCTCATTTATAAATGATAAGCCCCATTGATTTTGGAAGATATCCCCCAGGTTTTGCTGATCGGTCTGAGAGGGCAGATCCACTTGTGCAGTGCTCAAAAGCACAGTTTGCATACTGGAAGGATAAATAAAAAGGCTAGACTTAATTTGTTCAACAGCTGCTGAAGTTAGACTCATGTCCTGGAGAACTGAATCAGTCCCAGAAGAAATGGGTGTTAAAGTATTAGCAGCAGTAGTAAGCAGTGGCTGACCCCCTGGAGGATACACGCTTGCATCAGTTCCTGCTAAAACGGGCCCATTAGAAAAGTTGGCAGAAGTAACAGATTTCAGTGCCGACATAGGAACCTGGGATAACCGACTTGAAGAACATTGTGTCTGACTTTCTCCAGTAGATGATGACGAAGACGAGGATGAAGATGGTGACACAGAAGAGTTCTGTATGGTTTTGTTAAGGTTTTCCTTAACTTTGCTTGCATAACTTATTTTAGGAACAATTTTAGCACTGCTGTTGTCCACTGGGAAAACTGGAGGTGGTTTAAATAAGGTCCACGAGTCTTCTTTGGAAGCCACAGCTGAAGCATGCTTTCCTTTGGGCCGATCATCAAATTTTTTGCTGCTCACACCAGGTTTAATATCTGAGCTTTTCCGAAGCATATCACTCACAGGTTTTCCTCGACTTGCTCCTCCAGGCCCAGTTTCATACTTCCAAACGGGCTTTGAGCCATCTACTCGATTTCCCTTTTGTTCACTATAGTCAGGCTTGAAAGTTTCAAGTCCCTGTTTTAAGGTTGGGACACTGGTCTCTTGTTGCATTATTTTGTCCTGCACTAAATTAAGGTTTTCACAACCCTTGGCACTATTGCGCCTAGCTTTTCTTTTCTTAGGAGTAGTATATCCGCTCTCCGATCCACTACCATCATTATCTACGCCTTTGCCCATATAACCATTTGCAATATAGCCTGAATTATTTGTTACAACACCATTTGGAATTGCTACAGCATCAGTCTTATCTAGAGACTGGTTCTCTCCGGATTTGTTTTCATAAGACTTCCCATTCTTTCTGTCCATACTGTTCTTCTGAATGAAATTCTTGGTTTTAATTCCTGCCTTGCCAAAGGTGCTGGCCTTTAAAGTCTGCTTCAGGCTGGGATCTACAGCTTGCTGGTTGCCATTGAGGACCCTGGAGATAGGGTTGGTAACTTCATCAGAACCCAGACTCTTTAAAGATATTTCTCTTTCTCCAGCATTACCATTTAGTTCACCATAGCCTAGGAGGAAAACAAAGGTTTTTTTAAAAAAATAAAATCATTAAACACATAAATTATAGCACTACCTAACATTTAAGGACATACTTATTGTATGTTAGACCCTACCATGAGCTGTGGTTTTTTTATTTCACATCTCTGTAAGACAACTTGTGATTTTCACTCCGTGGATTGCAAAATGAAATCTACTGGTAAGCAAGAGGCAGAACTGTGTACTGTGTGACTCAAAACAGAGAACATGATCTCTTAAATTTATGCCATATCACCTCTCATCTAACAGAATCAACCTACCCATCATTCTCATAAGGCTGTTTAAAAAATTTCTTTATAGGGCCTGATGCGATAGCCTAGTGGCTAAAGTCCTCGAGTTGAACGTGCTGGGATCACATATGGGCACTGGTTCTAATCCCAGTGGCCCTGCTACCCATCCAGCTCTCTGTTTGCGGCCTGGGGAAGCAGTTGAGGACAGCCCAAAGCCTTGGGACCCTGCACCTGCTTGGGAGAGCAGGATGAAGCTCCTGGCTTTGGACTGGAGCAGCTCTGGCCTTTGTGGCTGCTTACGAACTAAACCATCAGAAAGATCTTCCTCTTTGTCTCGCCTCCCCTCTGTACATCTGCCTTTCAAATAAATAAATAAATCTTAGAAATTTCATTATATAGTTAGGAACAGAGCTACCCTCTGGGCAAAAATCAAGTTTTGTCGATACAATACTTATTAAGACTTAATTCCAATGAAACCACACATGGGCGGTGATCAGCACAAGCGGTTTCTATTATGTCAGTCAAAGATTCAACGTAGGGCCCAGCGCGGTGGCGCAGTGGTTAAGGTCTTCGCCTTGCACGCCCGGGATCCCATATGGGCGCCGGTTCTAATCCCAGGGGCCCCACTTCCCATCCAGCTCCCTGCCTGTGGCCCAGGAAAGCAGTTGAGGATGGCCTGAAGCTTTGGGATCCTACACCCGTGTAGGAGACCTGGAAGAGGCTCCTGGCTTCGGATTGGCATAGCATCGGCCATTGTGGTCACTTGGGGAATGAATCATTGGACAGAAGATCTTCCTCTTTCTCTCTCTCTCTCTCTCTCTCTGTCTCTCTTCTCTGTATATCCGCCTTTCCAATAAAAATTTAAAAATAAATCTTAAAAAAAATTTCAACGTTTGTGAGGTTTTTCTATAGTAGCAGAAGATCTTCCTCTTTGCATATCTGACTTTGTCATAAAAATAAATCTTTAAATTCATTTTGACACTAGACCATATTTTAACACATGAAACATACCTGCTGCTACTAATCCTTAATACATATTTTACTTTAGATAAACATTCTCACAGTGATGGAGTACCTTCTCCAGATCACAGAGTAGCACAATCTAGTCTGCCTGGAATACACTGTTTCCTACCACCATGCAACACTGCGTATTGAAGAGATTAGTGAAGAACCACTATGAAAGTTACTAGGTACTAACAAACCAAAGAGAAGGATATTTAATTCCAAAAAGTGTTAAAGAAAAATATCATTATAGACCTTCATACAAAGGCAGTTTATTACCATGGGAAACTTATTTGGGCAAACTTGTTCTATCTACATTTACCTGTTCCCAAAGCATCCTGAAACCAAACATTAGAAAGCAACATACAAGATAATACAAATATATTAATTTTATAATAGCTGTTTTGGGAAGAGTATTTCAATAGGAGTATTATTTACCTTTACCATTTTTATTAATTTTTTTTAATTCTTAAGATTTTTGGCCTGTTAAGGCTAAAAGGCATGTTTGCATATTCGTTGTAAACTTTTATGCTTATTACCTAAATGATAAATACCAATAGATTTAACCAACATCAAGAGTTCTCAGAATAAAAAAATAGAAGTCTGGTAACTGTTAAAATAACTTTTTGTGGATTTGGGAAGTCACACTAGACTTGCCTAAAATACATCCTTGGAAAAAGCTGGTATCGATAGACAAATAAAGGCATTTTCTTCTACTGTGTTGTAACTTTAAAAAACATATTCACTTCCCATCCAGCCCCCTGCCTGTGGCCTGGGAAAGCAGTCAAAGACGGCCCAATGCTTTGGTACCCTGCACCCACGTGGGATACCCGGAAGAAGCTCCTGGCTCCTAGTTTCGGATTGGCTCAGCTCTGGCCATGGTGGCCACTTGGGGAGTGAACCATCGAATGGAAGACCTTCCTCTCTGTCTCTCCTCCTCTCTGTACATCTGACTTTGTAATAAAAATAAATAAATCTCTAAAAAAAAATTTAGACATGAGAGAAGAGACTTGAAAAAGGTGAGTTATTTTCCCTTACAAAATAAAGTTCCTCACTATTTCACCCTTGGGCACTTCTGGATCAAAAAGATCTATACCATGTAATGTGCTAAACAAACATTTGTACCTTGAACCCATTAGTCATAACTTCAGATGTTAAAGATAAGCTATCTTAAATGCCAAAAAAATTCCAATGTCCAACCTAAGCTAAGCCAACACAAAGACCTATAATTAAATCTTATCAACCATTATCAATACTTAGAAACTACCAAAATAATGAACAGACCTCAGAAGCCACTTATACTCCCACCCTCAAGGTTTAAGGATAACATATAATTAGGCACAGTAGTTTAATGGTTAAGGTCCTCGCCTTGAATGTGCCAGGAACCCATATGGGGGCTGGTTCTAATCCCTGCTTGTGGCCTGGGAAAGCAGAAAAGGACAGCCCACAGCCTTGGGACCCTGCACCCGTGTGGGAGACCTGAAAAGCAGTTCCTGACTCCTGGCTTCGGATCGCCACAGCACTGGCCATTGCAGAGTGAATCAGCAGATGGAAGACCTTCCTCTGTTTCTCCTCCTCTGTGTACATCTGCCCTTAAATAAATAAATCTTTCGAAAAAAAAGTTTCCTTTTAAAACTTAGCTATTTTAGAAAAACAAACATTACAGATTTACTAAAATAAATGACTGCTAGCGTTTTTATTATGTAGGACTGCTGGAAATGAACTCAGCAAAACTTCAGTACTGATAAACCTAACATTTGGAGTATTAACTGAAATTACTCAACACATTTGATCTTCCGGTGCGCCCTCTTCTGGATAAAGAAAAACGGTTACTCTTTATAGGTTTGTGGGTAACGGGTCATAAAAGCCCACTCCTAACTTTTTATCAATGCATTTCAAAAAGTTTTTAGTTATTAGCATTACAGACATCAAAGCAACAGTACTAAATTGTTCACCTAACAATTTATATGTTCCCAAAATTGTTAACTTCATTCTTCCCTTTCAGGGTAAGACATTTTAAGGGATGACACCTTGGACAATTCAGGATGTTTCTCTATGTAGAAAGGAGTCCTACACAGGTATATTAACCTGATAAAATACATTTTTTAATTTGAAGAACATCATGTGTCAACATCACCATAATATGGCAATTCCACTACACAAGTTCCCACAACTCCTAAAAAGAAAAAAAAAAAAAGGGAAAAATCTGACAATCAAATTTCAGTGTTCCAAGTCTGCAACAGAAAAAGCAGGTAGTTTTCCCCAGCTCTTAACTGCTTAATTTTGACATGCTGGATTTGATATTTACTTTGACATCTACTTTACCGTTTTCATTTCTCCTCAATTTACAAAAGAACCCTTATCTATCTTTCGCTTTCCATGTAACGTTTGCTTAAAAAATTGACTTAAGTGATCGATACCACTGTTTAAATGTGAAAAACATTTTTTTTGCATTAACACGGAAAAAAGAACTCATCTAACTTCGGAGAGATCCAATCTCGTGGAGGGGCCACTTCAATTTACCCTTAAGGACGAGGAAAGAGGGGTCAAAAAACTCACCTTCTTACCAGTCCACTCATTTTCTTTTAAATCCTCCCCTTCAGACATGAATCATCCCAACCCTACAAGACTAAGTGTTGGATGAAGAGAATACAAGGTTTTTTTCGGGTTTTTTCCCCCCTTGGTAGAAAATGAACAGCTAAAAGCCAAGGGCCCAAGTGAAAACCTCAGAGGCGGAGTCATGAGCGAACCTGGCAGGAGAAGGTTCCTGTGGCAGAGAAACTCGTGACCGGGGAGCAGGGTTCCCGCTGGGTACCCCACCCGGCCTCAGGCACCGCCTCTACCCAAAATGAATCCCCCGCCGACCTCTCCCGGCCCTTGTGAACCAGAAACGCCGTGGCGGCCGCCGCCCGGGGCCTCCTTCCCTCTCGGCTCCGCTCCGGGGCGGACTCCCCGCCCCGACCGCCCGCGCCTCCCGCCGCACCCGGGAGCGGGAAACGCGGCCGCCGGCGCGCGGGGCCCGGCGCAGGCCGCTCCCCTCGTGGCGGCTTCCCTCCCCCACCTCAACCGCCCCCGCCCCTCACCCCAGGGACCCGCCCGGGGCCGCGCGGCCGCCACCGGGTTACACAACCCGGGCCGGGGGGAGGGGCGGCCGCGGGGCGGGGGGCTGCGCCAGCCTCCCGCAAGACTTGGGGTGCGAGGGGATGGCCAGCGGGGGGCCAGGGTCACCCGGCTGCGCTGCTCCGAGTGCCCCGAAGCACCCTTCCCCCTCCGCTCCTCAGTGGGCCAGAGTCGGTGACAGGAATCGGCTTCCAACATGGCGGACAGGAAGCGGCCCCGCGAGGAGGAGAGAACATTCCAGCCGCGCCGGCTCTGGGGGGGAGCGGGCCCGGGGCCTCAGGGGGAGCTGCGGGAGCACGTTGCGGGGGTCTGGCGCCTCAGAAGGACGCCTAGGGACGGAAATGACTCCGGAGAAGAGGGGTCCCAGCCGCCCCCCCAGACAGGGAACCCCAAGGCCACAGGTGGGCTTGCGGTGGCCGGTGAAGGAGGACACTTCCTCCTCCCAGCCCACCCACCCTTTCCTCGGCGCCTGCCCAGGGGTCTCGCGACACCACCCGAGTCAGGATTCGCTAGGCCTTCCCGAGTTACACACCTCGAGGGATTGGGGACGGGTGTGTGTGGCGGGGAGGAGGGGGAGAGGAGATTCAGCTCATCTCGGGGTACCCAAATGGAGGTAACTCTACGGCTGCAGGGAGGTGCACGGGAAGGAAAGGAGAAGGGGCTCCAGGGCCTGTCCTGCGGGTCTCCCTCCGGCAGGGGCGGGGGCCGGGAAGGTCACGCTGGCCTGGTTGGGCCTCTCCCTAAAGCCCGAAGGGAAGGGGAGCGAGCTGCAAGACCCCACTACCCGGCCGAGCCTCGCGGGGATGAAAAGGGGGCGCTAACCCACGCCCTGAGGGCGCGCGCACACTCCACACACCCCGACCCTGTCCGCGCTTTTCTGATCTAGCCCCACCCCCAGCTCCCCGTCCCCCACCCCCAACCCCTTCCCCCACCCGTCCTCTCTCCCGGACCTGTTTTCTTCTTCGGCGTTTCCTGGTGCTGGAGGGTGTGCTTCTGCTCATGTTTCAGCGGCTTTGGCTGGGCCTTGGGGCTGCCCTCGGCCCCATGCTGCAGGTACTGGTGAGGCTGCTGGTGGTGGTGGTGATGATGGTGGTTGTGGCTGTGGTTGTAGAAATAATAATGGTGGTGGTGGTGCGGCTGCTGTTGCTGTTGCTGCTGGGGATGATGGTGCGGGTGGTGGTGGCTGTGATGGTGTTGAGGCTGTGGCTGGCCGGGCTTCTCCTCCATTGAAAGCGGCTGGGACTCCCGGGCTGAGGCTGCAGGCTGCTGCACCGTCAGGATCTGAGACTGCTTCTCAGGGCTCACTCAGTATATCTGAGCGCGTCTCGCCAGCGCACTGGTTCAGAGAGCGAGTCTGCAAGATTGGCAGCCGCGCTCCAGCAATCAGGAGCCACGCTGTGCCGCAGGCCCCGCCCCCAGGCCAAATCCTCTTTCCTTCCTTTTCGCCTCTCTGCCTCCTGGCCAACGCCGCTTACCCTGTGCAACCTCACAGGGCCGGGCCTTCAACGTCAGCACTATGGCTCTCTCTTCGGTCGCTTTCTCTCTTTTCACCACGCAGTCTGCGAACAGCACTTTCTACACTCTTTGCCGGCAAGCAGTGTAGCAGATTCCACGGGCGATTCCACTGGCGCCGGGAGCCATCTGTTGGTTTTGCACCTCCTAGAATTTGTTGGCTTTTTTTTTTTTTGCATTTTTTTCCGAGTACCCAGAGAACAAGCTCAATTCCCTCAAACCTGAGACCACTAAAGGGGGAATGCAAAAAACAGGAAATTAATACATTTTTTTAAGAATACAAGAGCTTCACAATCCAGTAGATATTTTGTATTCTGGATTCATTTTGCTTTGTATTCATATGCTAATCTCTTCCTTTCCACGAAGGGATTATAGTGTTCCACAATGGGGTATCTGTGTAATTTTCTAAAAGGGCACAAAGGGTTTAAATCATTGTTTCTTTGTAGTTCGAGGCAAGGGAGAGCTGGAGGAATGAAAATCTATGCTGAACATTTTTAAAAAAAAATTAAACCCTGTAGGTGAGGTAAATTGCGGAATCAAAATAGATTTCTTAATGTTAACAATTTCAGGAGCAAAGGCAGTGAAAAGGAGACTAACTACTTAAAACTTATGAAGTTGTTTGGAGGTGTTTTTTGCGTTTATGGAAAATATTGGAATTCAAAGAACTATTCTTGCATGTTTGTACTATTGATAGAATTTTTCCTGTATTATCACTTCACAGTGTGTTTGCTTAAAAGCAAATGTTGAAGTCCTGATAGTGGTGTCTGGGGAGTGAACAGAGTTGTGATGGGGAGGAACATGGGGGTGTCCTCTGATTATGTATTTAGTTGAGTTAGGTAATGATTATGTATTTGCTTTGTAATTATTTCTTGAATATTCATTTCTAATATGCTTTTATATATACTTTATATTGATTTTTTACATTGTGGTAAAATATACATTACATAAAATTTACCATCTTAACCATTTTAAAACATGTAGTTCATGGGCATTAAGTTTCCATTTTTGTACAGCCACCATGCCTATCATCTCAAGAACTTTTTTCTTATTTTTTTAATTAGAGGTTTATTTATTTTCATTGGAAAGGCAGACTTACAGAAAAAAAAGAGAGAGGTCTTCCATCCACTGGTTCACTCTCTAAATGGCCGCAACGGCCAAAGTTGAACCCATCTGAAACTAGGAGCCAGGAGCTTCTTCCAGGTCTCCCACATGAGCTCAGGGTCTCAAGGACTCCAGCCATCCTCGGCTGCTTTCCCAGGACACAAGCAGGGAGCAGGATGGGAAGTTAAGCAGCTGGGGCAAGAGTCCACAACCATGTGAGATGCCAAGCTTGGAGATGGAGGATTAGCCATTGAGCCGTTGAGCTGACCCCCTCCAGAACTCCTCGTAACGTTTGAATTTATTCTAGGAACATCACATTAATGGGATCCTGCAGTATTTGTCTTTTGTAACTGCTTATTTTACTTACTATGCTCTCTTCAAGGATCATTAATGTTGAGCCTGATAACAATTTCCTCTTTAAGGCTGAATAAGATTCCATGTTATGTGTAATGCCTTTTGTTAACCCATTCATTCAACAGTGGGTTTTATATTGTTCCCTCAATAGCTGATATATTTTACATTTTTTTTTCTTTTGAGATTTTATTTGATTTTATTGGAAAAGCAGATCACATTAACAGAGAACAGGAAAGACAGAAAGATCTTCCCTCTACTGGTTCAATTCCCAAGTGGCTGCAAGTGGCAGGAGTTGAGCCCAGCTGAAGCCAGGAGCTTCTAGATCTTCCTCTCAGGTGCAGAGTCCCAAGGCTTTGGGCTGTCCTTTGCTGCTTTCCCAGGCCACAGGCAGGGAGCTGGATGGAAAGTGGAGTAGCAGGGATTAGAAGTGGATTCTAAATGGGATCCTGGCACCTGTGAGGCAAGGGTTTAGCCCATATTTTACAATTCTTTTTTTAAGAGTTATTTAATTTTTATTACAAAGTCAGATATACAGAGAGGAAGAGACATAGAGAGGAAGATCTTTCATCCGATGATTCACTCCCCAAGTGAGCGCAACGGCCAGTGCTGCGCCGCTCCAAAGCCGGGTACCAGGAACCTCCTCAAGGTCTCCCACACGGGTGCAGCGTCCCAAAGCATTGGGCCGTCCTCCTCCTCGACTGCTTCCCCAGGCCACAAGCAGGGAGCTGGATGGGAAATGGAGCTGCCGGGACCAGAACCGGTGCCCACATGGGATCCTGGCGCATTCAAGGCTAGGCCATGCCACTGGGCCCTATATTTTACAATTCTTAAAATGGGGTTGAAATTAGACAATAGAACATGAAAGGAACAAAGAGAGCTTGCAAGCAAAAAGAATGTGCTTTGGAATAATGAGTGTTAGCACAAAGGTGCATTTGAAATGTAAAAGCCTATTTTTAATAGCAGATGTTACTGAATCCAAAAAAACCAAGGGCAGAACTTGATGTGTTCTAAGGATTTGGATTTCCCATTGCTAAGTTTTAAAGAAAGGTCTCCTGGAGGTACATTTACCCAATTTAGAGAGCAAGACTCCAGTTATTGTGTGTCTTGGTAATTATATACGTATCTTTATCATTACATAATTATTTCATCATTTCTCCATAACTAAAAAGTGTACATGTAGTTTTTAGAATTCTTTTTAAATTTATTTGTTTGTTTTATTGGTAATGTAGATCAGAGAGGAGTCAGAAAGATCTTCCATCTGCTAATTCACTGTACAAATGGCTGCAGTGGCTAGAGCTGAGCTGATTTGAAGCCAAGAGCCAGGATCTTCTTCTGGACTCCCACACTCAGAGGGTCCCAAGGCTTTGAGCCTTTCCTCACTGCTTTCCCAGGCCACAAGCAGGGAACTGGAAGGGAAATGGAGCAGCCGGGATACAAACTGGTGTCCACATGGGATCCTGGTGATGCAAGGCAAGGATTTAGCCACTAGGCTATCTTGCTGGGCCCAAAATATGAATTAAAAAATAATAAAAATGTAAGTTAAACATATCTCTTTCCTTCTTCTTGATTTTCTGAAGTGCATTTTTGTGTTTGAGAGTTGCCATACATTTGAAATACCTTGCACGCCTGGAATCCCATATGGGCACCGGTTCATGTCCTGGCAGCTCCACTTCCCATCCAGCTCCCTCCCTGAGGCCTGGGAAAGCAGTAGAAGACAGCCCAAAGCCTTGGGACTCTGTACCGGCATGGGAGACCTGGAGGAAGTTCCTGGCTCCTGGCTTCGGATTGGCAAAGCACCGGCCATTGCGCTCACTTAGGGAGTGACTCATCGGACGGAAGATTTTCCACTCTGTCTCTCCTCCTCTCTGTATATCTGACTTTGTAATAAAAATAAAAATCTTTTTACAACATATTGTAATTCACGTATTGGCACTATGACATAGTAAGTTAAGCTTCCACCTGCAGTGCTGGCATCCCATATAGGCTATAGTTTGAGTCCCAGCTGCATCAGTTCTGATTCATCTCCCTGCTGATGTGCCCAGGTAAGCAGCAAAAGATGATCCAATCCGTGGGTCCCTGCACCCATGTGGGAGACCCAAAAGAAGCTCCCGTTTCCAAGCTTCAGACCAGCCCAGCCAGCCCTGGTGTAGGCCAATTGGGGAGTGTGCCAATGTCTATTCTCTCTTCTGTAGAAATGTTTTTCAAATAAAAATATTTTTTAAAGTAAGAAAAAAAATCTAATTTAGACAGGTGTTGTGGCTCAACAAGTTATGCTGCCCAATACTATACCTATATTGCATGTTAGTGTTGGTGCTAGCCCTGGCTTTTCCATTTCAGATCCAGCTTCCTACTAATGTTCCTGGGAAGACAGCAATGATGACCCAAGGGCTTAGGTCACTACATGGAAGAGCCAGATAGAGTGGTAGAGCTCCTGGATGCTGACTTTTTCCTGGACTAGTCACGGCTGTTGCAGGCATTTGAAAAGTGAATCAGTGGGTTGGACATTCACTCTGTCTTTTTTTTTTTATTAAGATTTTATTTATTTTTGTTGGAAAGGCAAATCAGATTTATGGAAAGAAAAAGATACAGAGAGAAAGATCTTCCATCTACTGGTTCACTGGACTGTGGAGGATTAGTTTCTGAGCCATCATGCCACCTCTATGTATGTATGTATGTGTATATGTATGTATGTATTGGAAGTCACAGAGAGAAAGAAACACCAAGAAAGAGATCTTCCATGCACTGACTGACTCCACAAATGGCTGCATTGTCCAGAGCTGAGCCTGTCCAAAGCTGGGAGCCAGGAGCTTGTTTTGGGTTTACCACATGGCAGTAGGTGCCCAATGCTTTGGGCCATCCTCTGCTGCTTCCCCAGGCCATTAGCAGGGAGCTGGATTGGGACTGGAGCACCCTGGAGTAGAACTGGTACCCATATAGGATGCTAGTGTCACAGGTGGAGGATTAGCCTGCAAGCGTCTATAAATGTAATTCTAGTATAAAATCTTACTTGCATAGTATTCACATTAGAATTACAATCCTAATAAGAAAATATCTCTCTCCTTGGGAACAAATTTTATTTTTATTTGAAAGGAAGAATGATTAAACAAAGCAAGAGACAGAGATTTTTCATCTATTGGTTCACTCCTCCCTCCAAGTGGCTGCAACAGCATAGGCTACACCAGGTCAAAGCCAGTAGCTAGGAGTTACATGGAAGTTTCCCACATGGAGTCCCCCTGTTTTGGGAAGTGAATCATTGGGTGGAAGATCTGTCTCTTTGTATCTCATTCTCTCTGTAAACCTGCCTTTCCAATGAAAATAAATACTAAAAAATAAAATAAAATGCAAAATG